TTCTTAAATAAGAAATGCTTGAAATATTTCACTCCGTAATGAATCTTTACATGGCACCAAAAAGTAAGGAAATTTGTGTTTGTCGTAACTATGTTTCTTGGCAATAAATCAAATAGCTGCACCTGATTGGCAGCATCTGGAGGTACCAGAAGCTCAAAACAAGTGTCGATAAAAACAAAATAAGCTGCTTAACAGAGAAGAATCAAATCTTTCTCTGTCAAATCTTTCATGTGCGCAACCCACATTCTCAGCTCTACTGCTCATCCCACAAATGCATGTTCCTTACAAATGTGGCACCATTTAAAACTGAATTTAACWGATTTTCCAACAGCATGACATTTATTGCCAAGTAKCATTGTTACAACAAAGAAATAATCTACCAAACACACGTTTACTTACTTTTTGTGTTAAGTTTATGTATACAAGTTTCCCTTTCTAAGCTGACTGACAATTTTTTTTGCGTTATTCTCATGTTTTGAGCTGCACCTGTAAAAGCTGACACACCGGCTGAACCACTACATTAAATGGTGAGAACATCCTCATTAATGACTGCAAACAGTTTGGCTAAAGAGTTTGCTTGATGATATCTCCAACATCTGAACACAAAATTTGACAAATGCAACATGAAGCATTTSTACATCTCACTATTCAAACTGTAAYGTGGCTTCATTGTTAAGCAAATTATTGAGTTGCATGGAATATTGAGTCATTGTGCTTTGCCACGGCACTTAAAAAGGCACAGATCTTTTATTTAAAAATGTATATGCTTAAAACACAGAACAATGTCTTAAATAGAGAACAATGTCTTACAAGACCTGCAGACAAAAAGCAACAGCATGCAGACAAAAGGCTTCAGAGGAAAGAAATTATATTGCAAAAAACATTTTCAGATCTTACACTGCAAAAATTAAGCATTAAAAACAAGTTAAAATACTAGAGCATAGTCTGAATCTTCTCAAATTAAGTGAAATAATCAAGTGCAGTAAAACAKTTGCACTCAGTAAGACTCTTGAAATAAAAAATACATTCCAGACTAACAAGATTAATAATCTAACACATTCTCCTCATGGTTTGTGGTCTCAAAACAAGATGAAAAACATATTTTTGAATGGATAAAAGATTTTAAGACTTGGTTAGATGGGCAATTTTTGCAGTGTTCCGAAAACTCTCAGGATTGCACATCTTAAATCCATTTTTTTCTTCATTTCTTAGCCACTGAAAACAACACAATATACAGCATTATTATTTCATATAAAATGTCAAACCAGCATGCAGAATACAGACACTTTGTGGAGCATCGTCTCCATTTGTGTTTTTTACACAACATAGTAAACACAGAACTGACCAAAGCTGCCAACACGTTACAGTCGTCGTTCTTAAAAACCTTTTTCTTAACAAATCCAAACAATAAAAACAAATCAAAGGATCTGCAGATGTGCTGATCRTGCACTTTTACAGTCAACCAGAAAACCTGAGATTTTATTTTGTTTGATTCACTAACTTCCTTCTTTGATTCTTCTGTTGATTTAACCAACCCTTCAGCCCACAGGTTGAACAGGTGAACCCCTCCCTCCACAGCAGRTCACGTCGAGGCTCACCTCCTTCCCGCCTCTAAGCGAGAAGAGGTGACATTTTACTGAGTGATGGGGCAATAACAGGTCTGAAGCCTTCAGGTGGGTGCAGCACACTAATTCATTTTCTTTATTTTCTCCACTTCCTGCAATCATTGCATAAATACACACAAGCCACACACGCAGAGCAGTTGTTTTAAAGTAAATGCAGCTCATATTTTTCTTTTTAAGCACACATAGGATTTTATTACAGCATAACAGAAGCTTAAAGACTGATTGCATGAGGACCGTCCTCTGCAGCTGCAGCCCCACATGTCTAATTCTAACCATGCCTTATTTAAAAACYGGACTTTTTGAGTTAAACTTCGAAGCAGCTGCAGAGTCAGATACGATGTGGGCAGCAGAACAATGAGCACGACCCAGAATCCTGTTTACAAGCTGGACATGAAAATAAGCAGTGATTTTTAAACATTGGCCGCCTGCTGCCCGCTGGTTCCAAATGCTTTGGATTCAGTAAAATTATTTTTTTGCTGTTTAGAATCGACAGCAGTTGCGTGAGACACTGGCTTAACTAAAAATATTCAGCTCATGTCGTAAACATTTTATGAAGACTCGTTAGAGCAAAGAATCTTAAAGATTAATGGCTGCAGGGCAACACTGGGTGAGGAATAATTTCACCTGCACTTTATCAAGGTTTCCTAACTCACAATCACTGGAACATGAATGAAAATTTAAATTTTCCCACGGTCACCTCAGTGAAGTCAGTGCTCCAGCTGGATAAGAAAGGATTTAAGTGGCATTAATATATTAATATTAATATTAATATATATTTTACATGACATCTTTCTAGACACGGTGCTTTCAGTCACAAATATGATTCAGATAATTCTATTGGTTTTTTACACTAATGGGATTTAAAAGCMATGATCTGCTTAAATAAATAGGTGACATTTAATAAAAGCAGAATGAAATGAGGACAATTCTTTACAATCTTAAAAAAGATGTATTCCTTCAAAACTGACATATTGAACATTTAAAAATTAATGTATTTTCACTAACATGATGATGGAAAAACAAACATTTTCTGCATCCTTATGTATAATTTAGTCATCATTCATCAAAAATTTGGATTCTAACAAACCATGTGTTGTGCAGAGACTGTCGGCGATAGTGAAAACCAGAACGGGGTTTAATAATAATAATAATTTTATTTAATGTTTTTTTAACGCCATATGGGCTATGAAACATGAAATAAATTTGAGGCTGATTTTTGAAAAACAATATGTCTGTGCCTCATTCATTTGATTCTGAAGTCCCCAACACTGCAGTGAAAACGCATCATTGAGGTGTTGTGGCTCAATGGCTCGGTGGTTAGCACCAACACCTCACAGCAAGAAGGTCCTGGGTTTGATCCACGGTTTGGACCTGGGGTCTTTCTGTGCTGAGTTATATGCTCTCCTCGTGCTTGTGTAAGTTTCTCTGAGTACTCCGGTTTCCCCCACAACACAAAAACATGTACAATAGGTTGCTTTCAGGCCCAGGCCTCCCATGGGATTTGCCTGGATAAATAATGGTAAAATTAAAATAAATAAATAAATAAATAAATAAATAAATAAATAAATAAATAAATAAATAAACCTCTAGCGAACCCCTGAGTTCCTCTGTGTTTCCTGTAGTTATGTCAAAGGCGTGCATAAATTTGGAACATTTTTATCCTCTGATGTGCACTGGTGGTAGATCTGTGCTCCTGGTTCAATGGCAACAGCAGCTTCACACACACACGTTTGTATTTCTATCCTTATTAGGACCATTTATTGATTTCCATTCATTTTCAGTTGTTTCTATAGCCTATATATAGGAGTAGGGCTGGGTATCACATATGGCAAAACGATTCTCATTAGAGTTAAATTCGAATTGATTAAATTTCGATATTGATACATACTTTATACTTATTGCTCAATGCCATGACTAAAAAACCCAGCAAAATATCATAAAATTATAATACATATTTTATAATTAGAAAAAAAAATGTGTCAAAACGTCTGCTTTTAAGGACAAAGGTGATTCCAGAATGCTGCTGGCCATTTCACTTATTCATCATTGTTGCCTGAAGCTTGCTGTTCCTTGCTCTGAACAGGAATCACRCATCGTTGTGGTACCCCCTGAGGGTTGGAGGGAGGGGGATATCAACATTAAAAGAATATCTCCACATCATTTTTAATAATATATAATAATTTCATCAGAAATAATTTCTGATGGTGCGGAGAGGAGAATCACACATGCAGGACATATTTGCATCTATTTTACATATTTAAATATGTACAGTTTCATACATCTGGAATTATATATACAGTATGATTGATAAGTTGTTTTCTTGATTTATGTGTACCCCACGTTTAAGTTGGAAATTCACAGAAGTCTTTGTACATTAGGCCCCAAGTCTGTAGCTGGTACTCAAAGARTATTTGCCTGGTACCGTACTTATCACATATTGGGTACTTTCTAAAATGTATCAGATAAGTACCCATTAAGTACAGGGTAACAAGTCGCTTTATTTTACAGCCTAGTCCCCATAAGCACCAGGTAAGTACCAGTAAGTACTTACTAAGTATGTACTGAGCTGTATGTGTTGATACTAATAAAAGCACTTTAATTGAGAGTACTACAACATTATGRAGCCAGAATGTGGTCTAATTTAATCYGACTCTTTGTTGATCGATTGCAAATCCTTAGGTAATTTTAACTTCATGWTGAGTTCAGTTAGTACATACTGATGAGTTTTGTCAGTATTTTCTACAAGCCGTGTTATTTTATTTCTTCAGATCTGATCCATAGTTTTAATGCAAGCATATTTTCCCTTCAGAGTTTGACCTGTTAGGTACAAACTCAAAAGCAAACTCCCCCTCATCGATTGTAAAACCCTGTAAGGCATGTTAGATCTTTGTGACTGAAACATTTCGGCCCGAGGCGTTCTTCGAGTCGACGCCGTCACTCACCACCTCTGTGTGAGCGCTGTGGCCACTCGACACGAGCTGCCGGTGAGACGACAAGCAGGACGTTTGCCGAAGACAAGTGTTGTTCTCCGTCTCCGTCCGCGTGCTCGAGCCGCGGCGGCGTCTCCTCAGGCCGTGGTGGAAGTGAATCGTGAACAAACCGTACGTGATGGGGTCGAGACACGCGTTGAAGAGGCCGAAGATGAACAGCATGTGRGTGAGCGAGTGCGACACCGTCTCCTCCATTCTCTCAGGAAACAACCAGTACCACAGGCCCAGCAGGTAGTACGGGGTCCAGCACACGATGAAAGACGTCACGATGACAATGCTCATCTTAAGAGTCCTYATCCGAGCTTTGGGGATGTTGCTGTGCGAGCGGCGAAGGTGTATATCTCTTGAGTGCACTGAAGGAGGAAACAAAATCGTTTCATTTCGGCTTCTAGAACCTGTTAGACTTGATGTTTTTTAAAAAAATCAAAGAATAATCTCAGACTTACTGTTGTTCTGAGCCATGCGGCTGGATATCTCCACCAGGATGCGCGTGTAGCAGGAAATCATGAGGACTAACGGCAGGAGGAAGAGGCACGTGAAGGTGAACATGTTGTAGAGGGTCTCCTGCCAACGCTGGACAAAACTGCCATGGGTGGTGCACTGGGTGAAGTTCTCCGGGACTGTGATCGTCACATTGTGGAAGATAAACATCTGTACAAAGATAGATTTTTTATTAAAAAAAAAGATTATTCTCATTTAAACGATCTAAAGTGTGGGTTTTGTTGTAAGAGACGCCTCCTGTTCTCACTGCTTCTTTYAGTTTGAAGCGTCATCATTAGTGTTATCCTCTGAGTATTGAAGAACACAAGGAGAGGACTCAATAAGGATTCTAATTAAAGTGGACTGATTAAATACTAATTGCTTGTTTCCTTTATCAATAAACAAACCAAAGTAAACAAACAGGAGAAATGCCAATCAGTGTTTGGTGAGGCTATTTTTTTGCCTTCATAACAACATTAAATCTTTTTGCAGACAGTTTTTGCAGAAACTGATTGGTTGTTCCAGACAAACCAAACAYACTTGGATTMCAGTTCACACTGCAGGTCTTAATGCTCATGCAGTTTATAGTCAGTCAGGTTGGCCATCCTGTAAAGTTTTTCTCTGTAATTGTACACGTTGTCAGCCTTTAATTTAATAAAATAATTTTCTTTTTGTTTTTGTRCCTGCTCCCTGAGTCTACACCTCCTCTTTCCTGTCAGTCAGGATCGTAATGTATATTGGTGAATATTCTCTGTCAGCCAGGACTTGACCACGTCTGGAACATACGTCAAACTCAAAGCCTGTGGGCCAAATGTGGCCCGCTGCAGCACTTCATGTGGCCCGCGAGAGCTTCAAAGATGCATTAATGTTTTAAAATAAGCAACCACTGCTTTAACCAAACATGGCATACTAGGTGGAGGAGCACAGGGTTCATTCCATCCAATTTTGATGGCTGCGTTTATTGGTGGGAATTTCCCACATGCAAGTCGTAAAATTTAAACTGGAACGCCTCCTTCAGTGGGAATTCTCTGTTGGAAAACGGGAGAGTTCAGAATTCAAGATGGCAGCTATTCGCCATAACAGTGAGCAAAACTTTCTTACATTTAAGAGTATTTCTGTATTATTTGTTTCATATTTAGTCAGTTGCACATGTAGTACTTTTCAGTGTTTATAAGAGGATGTGTTAAAACGCTGTTTCTAYGCAGGAAATACCACGTAGAGCTCAGTTATTGTTTGAGACAAGGAACTTAACGTTTTGTGTTTTTAGTCGACGTTAAAAACGAATAGTCTTAAACTGTCTTGAACTGTTTTAATTACAACTGGCCCTTTGAGGGCCACCATAATGTTCAGGTGACCCTCCGTGAAAACAAAACTGACTGCCCTGGTCTAGAAAGTTTAAAAGACACAAAGCAAATACACTTTTGTTCTGCAGCAGAGGATGTGCTGCGTTTCAAGCTTCAAACCGCCTGATACTGGTATTGATTTTTTCAACAGAGATGTAAAAGTTGGACGAAACGTGACATGTCTGTTCAAAGTGCAGTCGCATTTTAAAAAAATCACATAGTATCCAATTTAGTATCTGAAAGAGACCTGGGTCGGTTTTTGGAAAAAAATTGGATTTGTCACTTTCATAMTCTCAAAAAGATCAAATTTGGGGCACTTCCACCTGCAGTGTGAACATAGCTTTAATGATGTTATGATCTTTGTGAGTCTTTTTCCCCCCGTTGTACTGACGATACAGAACCATGAACCTGCTATGAAACCTTTGYCCATGTGAGACCTTATTATAGCACTTTAACTTCTTTGTCTCTTGTTCTGTTCCGTCTCATGGYGTTTCTGTCTTTAGCTTCACTTTTGGTAGCAGAGTTTGGTCAGTTTTCAGCCTCCTACGCAGCTGTTTCCATCTGAGTTAATCACTGTGTTTCAGCCTCTTTATTTAAATAATGATTATTAGCACCTGTTTGGTATAATTAGTTATTCATACACTTGACCATTTTTGTTGCTCTGAAGGCAAAAGGTGGGTAATTTATATTTGCAAAAACATTCTTACTTTACAACATGTAAACACCTGTACCAACTTTTTGCATAATATCGTGTAAGTTTCTGGAGAAAGAACAGGGTTGACGTTACGAGACAGCACACTTCTTTTTCTATTTCTCTTTAAGGAGCTGTGTCACCTTTAGCAAATTGGCTGTTAGCRCAGGAAACCGATTTTAGAGATTTGACATTTTCTGTTTTTCCGTTAAACTCAACAAGCCGTTGGCTGTGTGCATTCAGATTGGGAACGGTAAACGGAGCAGCCCCTCATTAAAGCCGGACATAAAATGCGATGGCATGTTTCCCAACCCACAGCTTTTAAATGTTCTAATCAGTTTGAGTTTGTTTTTAATGAAGTGATGCGAAATCATTTAGACTGAGGGCAGACATCGCCGCGGCCTTGAGGAGAAAAGTTAAGCTGTCGGACCAGAAACGTGACTTGAATTCAAAATACCTGGGTGCCCCCAAAAAAGCAGCATCGCTCTGGGCGCTTTTATTTAGACATCCAGTGGAAATTCTTCTAAAAACTGATTCAGTGACAACATCAAGGCTGCTGGAAAGGAGGAAAAGTCAGCAGAGTTTGCCTAAAATGGYGAAGATCCCTCCATGTTTCATTCAATCTTAAAACGTTGAGAAAATTATGGTGGAAACACTTCCTTTAGTTTTCCAACAGAAATRACAAATTAATCAGAATAAAAGTGGTAGACGTGGCTCTGCTAATCGGCTAACAGCAGAAGCTAATTTTTCAGTTAGCGTACCAATTAGCTTCTRCTAAATTAGGCTTTGCTAACTTTAAGTTTGCTRGCARCTAACTAACAAATTAACATCAACAGGTTCTGGTTTAATGATAGCTTCTGCTACATTCCCATATTTTACATGTTTAATGTTAAGAAAACAATATTTTCAGATTATGAGTTAGTGACGCTAACTTATTGTTTAACTGCGCCCACCACTGCAGAATACATTATTAGTGACGGGATGTGAAACAGATTCAGTATTTCCAAGGAACCTATCTGAAAAAAAACTTCTATATTAAAGGGATTCTTTACTGTCATTATGCGCACATGCAACAAATKTATGCCATTTGGCTCTCAGCTTCAACCAGTAATATAATTAAAAACACAATCAAACTTTAAAATACAGTCGAATTTAAATGTGCACCCAAGCCTCACGTTACAAACACACACACACACACACACACACACACACCACAATACACAACTGCAAAATGTGTGACAAACTTCAAAATGCACACTCCACCTTACACAAACTGTTAACTCAGGAGAAATGTGCAAATCAAGCAGGAAGAGCAAGAATTTAAGAAAATGCAGCACGGAGCAAATCCCATTTTTAGACATGACAGATGTGTGTGTGTGTGTGTGTGTGTGTGTGTGTGTGTGTGTG